GCTGTCTCTTTCAATGATTATGTTTCTTGGGTGTCTAATAAATTAGACTAAAAAACAAAGGAGCGAAGCAATGAGTATGAGTTCTCAAAAGCATCCTTATCATTTAGTTGATCCAAGTCCATGGCCTATTTTTGGTTCACTGRGARCTTTGGCAAGTACMATTGGTGGTGTTATGTACATGCATTCTTATACAGGAGGTACGCTGTGCCTTAGTTTAGGTTTTCATTTGACTTGGAGTCATCCATTCCATCCGGCATGGTTCTGTTTAACAACACGGAGGCACGACGATCGATCGATGATAATTGCTAGGTTTATAGAACATTGTACCCGTTTCTGGGCACTTGAGATCCTTGCCCAACCGATACACTGTTTTTCTCAAAGACCTAAGTTTGTATTTAGTTGATAACGTAAGACCACATGAAGACCACAATAAGTGTATAATACGACTCAGGCCCGCCAGGGGAGCCGCAAAGGAGTAGTAGTTGAAAATGCCACGGGTTTTTGCATTGTAAAATGCAAGTATATCTGTGTGGTCCATCGGGATCATAATTCTTATTGCTCATCCTCCCCCGCCTCCAAGGCTTGCGTCGGCCGACAACGATACGAATATTCCCACTGGGACGCCCGCGACGCCCCACTCTAAAACGATACGGGGATCAGGCCGCAAGGTCGACCATCACCCCAACTCTGAGCCGAAAGAGATGCTTGCACTTCTACCCCCTGAACTTGACACAAGAGACTTCAGTTTCGACCTGAAACTCCACCCCTACTTTCCTAAAATCCTTGGCAGTGTTGGCACACCCCTTTTCGCACTTCCGGGCCCATGAACACTCCGAAAACAGGAAGTCGCGCTGGGCGTGAGGTTGCGCGTCACACCGCCGCCCACCATGATGGAATCCCCGCGGAGCGACACTCACCTATTCGTGGCAGATTTCCTAAACCAAAGCAAAAACTTACACCAAACCAACAACAACAATCCAACACAAACAGTCGACTATGTACAACTCTCTCTCTCTCTCTCTCTCTCTCTCTCTCTCTCTCTCTCTCTCTCTCTCTCTCTCTCTCTCTCTCTCTC